AATAAATTACAAGTTAAAAAGGGCATGGACATTTCTCTTTTGTATCAAAACAACATCGAACCGTGAGACTAAAAATATTGAACCGAACTTAATCGTGAATTTTCTGTATCGTTGTACCCCTAGTGTGTATCTGTGTATTTTTACTTTATTATTCCCTTCATGTGCTGGGGAAGATCCTCAGGCATCCATGAACAATTAAAACAATTTAAAACTTTAGATCCTGATCAGTTTTGTGTCCTGAGTTCAGTCTTCCTCTTCTCTCCTGAGCTCACTACCTTAGTTCCTCCGTTCCTCTCCGCTCGGATAACCCTCTCTGTGACGTCTCAGTGGAGCGGCTCTCATAGTTTGACGATGAAATGAAAGTTTTTCTGCAGTGCCAGATTGTGTTTTTGGTGTGTAAAGTTTTAGTTTATCCTTTCAGCTCCTGGTTTAGAACCTGCTGACAGGAACAGGTGGAAGTTTAGGAGTGAGTTTGCTGCAAAATGCAAAAGAAAAGAGAAAGACGGAAGAAGAAAACTGAACGAATGAATAGTGGGGACCAAGCGGTGGTGCATCCCATAATTATCTATTTTCAGTCACTTCAGCTGTTTCTGTTTGCAAACAAATACATGTTCATGTAGCTGCATGGTCACATATTTTTAATTTAAGGACCCATCATTATGAGATATTAAATGTTTTTAGCTTTATGTTTCTTTGTTGTTGTTGTTGTTGTACCAATCTTTGTAACATTGGGATCCTTTAATCAAAAAATACTAATTCATGCAGGTTAGAGGATTATAAGATATTTCTCTTCACCCCAGAGTCGACATTGTTTTCAGAAGACGTCTTCTCTTCTGACAGCTTCTTGCCTTTCTTCCAGCTGATGATGTCAGAGCATCAAGAATTTGGGAGGAAGAGTTTGAGTGAAGAATATTTCAGGGAGTTTGTGGAGCGAGCGCTCGTTGCATTGTTGTAACGTCATCCAGCGGAGGGGATGGGGGGGGGCGGGGTCCTAGAAATCTCACAGGTGTTTGTGGAGACGTGAACCTCAGAGGAAATGCAGGATGGAGCATCTCTGCAGGAAGAGGGGATGGGGGGGGGATATTGGCTTCAGTATAACATCTTCTGTTGTTCATCACAGGTTTTATTCTTTTTTATTATTTGAAATGAAAATAATGTAAAAATACCTGTTCAGAGTTCAGCTCAAACTCACTTTTAATCCATTAAAAGAGCAAACTCTGAGCAGAAATGCGGCAGTTGGCAACGTTTCAACCCGAACGTTTGGACAAAAGCTTCTCCAGTAAAAATTTTGCATGACGTTTAATGTTTTTCTTTTTCTCGTGGATGAGTAACTTTAATGTTTTTTGTTTGTTTGTTTTTTTGGCACACGCATCTGCAGCTATTCAAGCACGGAAAAATACAGAAAAATAATCTAAAATGAGGAAATGTGCGAGGGATTTGAAGTGTCGGAGCAGAAATGTTTTCACCAGAAACAAATTGTGATTCATGTTTGAGTGGACGCTATTCAAATCATTCTGAAGCTGTTTTCTGACACGTGTGGGCTTTTATTCCCTGTGCAGCTTCATGCTTGTTTTTCACGACAGAAATCAGTCTAAGGCTTTGTTTCCAAAACGAGTTCTCAAAGTCACAGCTTGGGGTGAAAAATGGTGGACGGGTGAAGCAATCAGAGCGGCTGAAATCCTCTCAGCTGCTGATATGACGGCTTATTTTATATTTATCAATCTGTTTGGTTTAAATCTATTTTAATGTCAATTTTAAACCCAAATATTACCTTTTATCACACAAAAATGATCTACAACTCTTTGATTCCCCCCGTTTTAATCTTTCTTCTGGTTATTTTTAATTTTGAGGTAAATTCATGTTTTAGCTTCAAGTAATGAAAATAAAACAGGAATCTGTTTGATTTCTTTCATCAGAAAATAATTTAATAAAAATATTTACATTTTAAAATTATTTGGACACATTTTATCTGTTGTCGTC